GAGAGAGAGAGAGAGAGAGAGAGAGAGAGAGAGAGAGAGAGAGAGAGAGAGAGAGAGATCCCTTCACAACTTGATGAATTTCAACAGGGAACCAACGCAGACTTCCAAATTCCTTTTTTTTTTAATTCCCGTGAAAAATAGAAAAGAATTGGCAAGTTCAAGATGACTCAGCTGAACATTTCCAACTATTTATTTACTAAATTAATTACTTACCACAAATGGTCAAACAATTCCCTCAACATTAATTCACTCCTGTGTCTGTGCCTTAAGCCACCGAGTTACTTTGTATGGTCATTGCTTATAAATGATATGGACTCCCATGGGTTTCTATCTATTTTCTATTTCCTCACAATAAATATAACAAAAAATATATAAACGTAGCACATATATTCTTTCATCTTCTTTTCAGGGTAATAAAACCCAGAAATTAAAATTTAAAGGCATATTTAAAAGGATGGCGTTTTTTGCAAGTACAATCATTCATCTAGGGACAGTTCAAAGTTACAACGGCATTGAAATAAGTGACTTTTGCAGCACCCCCTCATGGTTACGTGATCAAAATTCAGACACCTGGCAACTGACTCGTACTTATGACCGTTGCAGTGTCCTGGGGTCACATGATCCCCTTTTGCGACTTTCTGACAAGCAAAATCAATCAGGGAGCCAAATTCATCCTCTAAAAATTCACTTAACAGCTGTGTTACTAACTTTAATAACTGCAATGATTCACTTAACAACTGTGGCAAGGATGGTTGTAAAATGGGGCAAGACTTACTTTGCAACTACCTTGCTTAACTGTTTCTTCCTTTGCAATTCAAGCAAGCCAATGTCCCAAACAAGATGTTACTACAGCTTTAAGTGAGCACCACGCAGAACTGAGGGCTTTTCCAGGAAAGTGACTCCGCTTCTAACCAATATTTGGCCAGTAACATTTCCTGTCTGAATCCAAAAAAACGACAGGAATTGAAACGGAAGAGCTGTGTAACAGCTTTCCTTAATCCAGTGGAACTGCCAAGATTATAACTAGAACGGTGGGGGTTTTCTAAACCAGCAGAGAGCCCATCTAGGCTGAGAAGGAGGAGACCTGAATTTACTGGCCTGGGTGGGTGAGAGGGATCTGTTCCTCCCTCCGCATAAAATGGCCCATTAAGCCATTTGTGGTTATTGTGATGCACAATGACACCACTGCATTGCTTGATATTGAATTGCTGGCATCCTTTTGGGTAATAACATCTGAGAGATAGAACGATAGATAGAACGATAGATAGAACGATAGAACGATAGAACGATAGAACGATAGAACGATAGATAGATAGATAGATAGATAGATAGATAGATAGATAGATAGATAGATAGATAGATAGATAGATAGATAGATAGATAGATAGACAGACAGACAGACAGACACAGACATAGAGGTAGATAAGTAGGTAGGTAGAGAGAGACAGAGAGAGATAGGCAGATAGGATAGAGATAGAGAGATAGTTAAGTAGATAGACAGACAGATAGGTAAGTAGGTAGGTAGGTAGAGAGAGAGAGACAGATATAGAGGTAGGTAAGTAGGTAGGTAGAGACAGAGAGACAGAGATAGATAGATAGATAGATAGATAGATAGATAGATAGATAGATAGATAGATAGATAGATAGATAGATAGATAGATAGACAGACATATATATATATATAGAGAGAGAGATGTAGGTAGGTAGGTAGGTAGAGAGAGAGAGAGACAAAGCGAGATAGGTAGATAGATGATAGAGATAGAGATAGTTAAGTAGACAGACAGATAGATAGATAGATAAGTAGGTAGTTGAGAGAGAGAGAGACAGATAGATATAGAAGTAGGTAAGTAGGTAGGTAGAGAGAGACAGACAGACAGGCAGGCATGCAGGCAGACAGAAAGACAGACAGACAGATAGATAGGAGGTAGGCAGGCAGGCAGAAAGAGAGAGAGATAGGGAGAGATAGAGATAGATAGATAGGTAGATGGAGAGATAGAGAAAGAGGCAGAAATAGATAGATAAGTTTAGAAATAAATAGAGATACCTGTAGATGATCGATCAATAGGTAGACAGAGGAGAGAGAAAGAGAGAGAGAGAGAGGTAGGTAGGGAGGGAGGAAGAAAGACAGACAGACAGGAAAGGAGAGAGAGAAAGAGAAACAGATGGTCTTAATCTATCACTGTGTTGCATCTTATGATTTGTGATGATTGTATTTTAGGAATCGTATCACCCGTTGGTTTGCATGTACACTGAGACCTTCTGCACCAGGAGACAAACCCCTTGTCTACATCCAATCTCACCTGGCCAAAGAAAGAACATTCTCTTCTCTTCTAACCAAACACTCACCTTGCTGGTCTCTTGGCTGTCGGGGTCAAACGGCACCTGCTTCACGGACAGCTCCCGTCCAATGTCCACATCATAGCAAAGGTAGACTTCTCCAAACGCTCCTCGGCCCAAGAGCTTCCCAAGCCTCCAGTTCACTGGGGCCTGCAGTGCTAAAAGAAGGCAGACAGAATAAGATCCTGTCAACAACCTCCTCAGAACTCTAGTCCTGAAACATCCACATCTCTAAGTAGGCAAGGATCCCTCACAACGCTGGGAAAAACCATTTTTTTCCACCTAGGTGGAATCTACAGGCAGTCCTCTACATACGACCACAACCGAGCCCAAAATTTCTGTCGTTAAGTGAGACATTTGAGTTTTGCCCCGTTTTACGACCTTTCTTGCCACCGTTGTTAAGTGAATCACTGCCGTTGATAAGTTAGTCACCCGGTTGTTAAGTGAATCCGGCTTCCCCATTGACTTTGCTTGTCAGAAGGTCGCAAAAGGGGATCACCTGACCTAGGGACACGGCAACGGTCATAAATACGAACCAGCTGCCTGAATTTTGATCACGGGACCATGGAGGGTGCTGCAAAGGTCGTCACTGTGAAAAGCAGTCATAAGTCACATTTTTCAGTGCTGCTGTAAGTTTGAATGGTCACTAACCGAACTGTTGTTAAGTCAAGGACAATCTTTAGTGATTTCGTCAAAATCTGAATGTCACTTAGTACTTCTGGTTTCTAGCCTGTGTAGTTGCTAAAATGCTTCTAAAATGCGGGCTGGCATTTAAAGATGGATCGGATGTCCGGATCAATCTGCAATTTATTCAGCTTGATTTCTTTTCTATTACAGGATTTGTGGGTTCCCCGGAGAAGCACCAAAGACTCCACAGTTCATCCCTGAGCTATACATATTCTCACCCGTTGGTACCCTTGTTCCACACGGGTCCAAAAATGTGGAGGAACGTTGAGGTAGCCCTGGGTAACTCCCGAAAAGTCTTGCATGAACATTAGGGAGATGGTGAAGCTTTCAACCACTCAAAGGTGCTTTTTTCACGAGGCCACTGGACTTTATTTTTTCTCTTTGAAGACGTTTCGCTTCTCCTCCCAGAAGCTTCTTCAGCTCTGACTGGATGGTGGGGAATGGAATCCAGTTAGAGCTGAAGAAGCTTCTGGGAGGAGGAGTGAAACGTCTTCAAAGAAAAACAACAAAGTCCAGTGGCCTCATGAAAAAAATCACCTTTGGGACAACCACGACCTGGATGACTGGGGATCTCCACAGACTCTCAGCCATTCAGTTTTTCTTTTAAATTTGCCAGATCAACAATGGAAGATGTCCAACTGACATATTAACTGGGAATTTCCTCAGGGCTTTTTGGGTCAGTGTTAGAAACCCTGTTCTGGTAGCGGAGGGTAGATCTGCTCTTGGGCTGTCCTGGAGATCCTCACCTTGTCTCTGAAAATGGCAAACGAGTGAGGGATTCCTCACCATTCAAGGGTGTTTCCTTCCCAATGCAAATAGCATCCTCTAAGGCAGACATGTCAAACACAAGGCCGGGGGCCGGATGCGGCCCGCAAAGTGGTTTCATGTGGCCTGTGAATCCATCCTGGAAACAGTGAGGGAACGGCCCCCGCTGCCTTGGCCCTGGCCCAGGCCGGCCGGGAGCCAATGTACAATTTTGTGGTGGCCATAATTATGCTGAAACGCATTCAGTCTTAGCTCCACAAGGCCATCTAGAAACAGCGAGGAAGCAGCCCCTGCTGCGTCAGCCTCGCCCCCTGGGTGCGTGCTGGGGAGGTGTCACCCTTTGTGAGGAATGAAGAAATGGACCATGCCTTGGCGCTTGCCCCGGTCCCACCCCCTTCTGCCAGAGACCCTCAGATCTGTCCCACTTCTGCCCAGGCCCCCACAGGCACCCTTGACGCGAACGATGTAGAGCTGGCCATGCCCACCCAGTAGGCCACACCCACTCCTCCACACCCACCCAGTAGGCCGCACCCACCCTGGCCACACACCCCTGCCCCCCAAGGGCAACCGCAATGCTGATGCGGCCCTCAATGAAATTGAGTTTGACACCCCTGCTCTAAGGCCATCAATTCCTCACAACGTCTACATTATCAGCCAACCTTGATGTTCCTTCTCTGAGTGAAGGCCCAAGGGTTCCAAAAGGGCATTGAAGATGGCCAATGGAGAGGATTCCCAACCAGAAACACATCCCCATCAGACGCCCACTGAAGTGAAGCCACTTACTGTTCCTGGTCTTGGGAGAAGAAGAGCTAAAGCCTTGAAAGATCTTGTCACAATTGTGCCACCACTTGTTGTTCCCTCGTTCCTCGTACCGCAAAGTGATCAGCTTGTTGTCTCCGTTGTAGCTCTTGGTTCGGCTGGAAGGCAGAAGCTGAAACAGGTTCTCTGGAGGAGCGTAACTTCTGGGGAACGTTCTCCGGCCTTCGAAAGCAATAAAGACAGAACAGAAAAAAAAATGAAACCACACAAGGGCTTCTTTACCTGGTATACAGGTAGTCCTCGACTTATGACTTCAATGGAGCTCAAGATTTCTGTTGTTAAGTGAGACATTTGTTAAGTGATTTTGCCCCGTTATACGACCTTTCTTGCCTCAGCTGTTATGTGAATCACTGCAGTTGTTAAATTAGTAACACAGTTGTTCAGTGAATCCGGCTTCCTCATTGACTTTGCTTGTCTGAAGGTCACAAAAAGGGGTTATATGACCCAGGTCACTGCCACTGTCATAAATATGAGCCAGTTGCCAAGCATTTGAATTTTGATCACATGGCCACGGGGATACTGTGATAAGTCACTTTTTTCAGTGCTGTTGTAACTTTGAACGGTCACTAAATGAATTGTTGTAAGTCAAGGACTACTTGTACATCAGCTGAGCTTCTCCTAAGTTTCTTACATTGATGTGCAGTGTCCCTCCATGTGTGCGCGGACTGAATATAGCTTATTTTTTAAGACGGACTGGAGCAGTGGTTCTCAACCTATGGGTCGCGACCCCATTTGGGGTCGATTGACCATTTCACAGGGGTCGCCAAGCAAGGCTGTCCGCCATTTTTTTCCCCTTTTCCGGCGGGTGCCTTACCTCCCTTGGGCTGGGCCAGCTGGTGGTCGGCCTGCTCTGTCTCTGCCGCTTGCCAGCTACGCCTCGGCCAGCGCAGGGGGCGGAACCACGCATGTGTGGCGCTCCCGGGCAGGGAAAGTCCTTGACTTACGACCGGTTTAGTCCTCGACTTACGACCGGTTTAGTCCTCGACTTACGACCGGTTGGGGGTTGCGGCATTAAAAAGGTTGAGAACCACTCGACTGGAGTCTTTTGCTTCTGCAAAATTGTCCAGCCCAATTTTATCAGTCACCTAGATTGGTTCTTCTATCTTAATTCCTTAAATTAAATAATCCCGTGATTCGTAGAAGAGAACAAGCAAGGATCCCAATGAAAGCAGTGTGGGAATCCCGATGAAAATAATACCCCAAAATTTATTTAATCTCTCCTGAAGGTATCCCATGAAGTGAAGGCCACTATCTCTCTAAGGAAGTATCTCCCCTTCCAGGCTCTCTTTTCTACTAACTAGAACATTTTTGTAATATTCAACAAGGATCAAGGAATGAACTGAAGTTGGTGGAAGATACTGCTTCCCGATCACTTGAGATCACTGTTCCAGGTCCTGAATTTTGGGATAATAAAAAACAGATCCTGGTTTTCTTCTTTCTGCCTTTTATGCTTGTTTGTTTGTTTCCCACCTTTATCATTTTTACGAATAACTCAAGGCAATGAACATCTATCAACATTTCCGTCTTCTATTTATCCACCTGATAACAACCCTGTGAGGTAGGATGGGCTGACAGAACAGTGTCTGGCCCAAGATAAAACCCAGTTGTCTTTCCTGGCTAAGGCAAGACTTGAACTCAAGGTCCCTTCCTTTCTAGCCTGTGATTTAACCACTAGGCCAGGGGTAGGCAACCTTGGCTCTTTTATGACTCGTGGACTTGAACTCCCAGAATTCCTGAGCCAGCCATGCTGAGGAAAAAGGGAGAGGTTTCCAAGCTGAGCCATGTTGGCTCAGGAATTCTGGGAGTTAAAGTCCACAAGTCATAAAAAAGCCAAGGTTGCCTACCCCTGGACTAGACCAAACAGGCTCTCTATTTCTATCCCTCTATCATATTTAGATACCGGTACTTGATATTCCAAAATTTGTTCTTCACATAAGTTAGGCCAGTTTTATAATTTTCAGCCAACACAGCTCTAAATGTGGAAACTGCTACTCTAAGAAACAGATATACAATTTGTTCCTTTGACAGGGCCAATTTTATGTTGGTTATAGAAAAGACTCTTTAAAGGAAGATGGACACAGGAAGCTGTGGTCTTCTTCAGCTTCTTTACCTTAACAGAATAACAGAGTTGGAAGGGACCTTGGAGGTCCTCTAGTCCAACCTCCTGCTCAGGCAGGGAAAGCCTAACTACCCATTTCAGACAAATGGTTGTCCAATCTCTTCTTGGAGCATCCACAACTTCTGGAGTCACAATTTCCCAACACACTGAATTGATGGAACCAATTATGAGTTCCTTAATTGGAGCTCATATGGAGTAACAGGCAGTACTTAACCTGGAACCACAACTGGACTCAACATTTTAGTTGCTAAGCAAGACAGTTGTCCCATTTTTACGACCTTTCTTGCCACAGTTGTTAAGTGCATCACTGCAGTTGTCAAGTTAGTAACATGGTTACACTGAGAATTAAAGAAAAAGAAGATACAGATTATTTTCAAACATGGAACTTATTCTATCAATGGCTGGAAAAACGCCATAGAGAGTAAGAACTTAATCGATATTACTAAACAAATTAACCCAGACAGCACGTTGTTCATTAAGCACTGAGAAATTAGTAATGTTATAGGATGTTCCTACACTGATTAACTAAGTTCTTCCCAAAGTGTCTGCAGGGAATGATAAAAAAAGTCAAGGTGATGTTAGCCACCATGATGAGACCAAAATTGTTTTGGCCTAAATTTCTTTTCTTCCTTCCTTCTCTTTTCCCCCCTTCCTTCCTTCCTTCCTTCCTTCCTTCCTTCCTTCCTTCCTTCCTTCCTTCCTTCTTTCTTTCTCTTTCTCTCCTTCTTTGTTTCTTTTCTCTATCCTTCCTTTCCTCTTGTCTTTTTTTTTCTTTCTTTCTCCCTTCCTTCCTTCCCCTCCTTCCTTTCTTCCTTTCTTCCTTTCTTTCTTTCTTTCCTTCCTTCCTTCTTTTCTTTCTTTCTCTTTCTCTCCTTCTTTGTTTCTTTTCTCTATCCTTCCTTTCCTCTTGTTTTTTCTTCTTTCTTTCTTTCTTTCTTTCTTTCTTTCTTTCTTTCTTTCTTTCTTTCTTTCTTTCTTTCTTTCTTTCTTTCTTTCTCCCTTCTTTCCTTCCCTTCCTTCCTTCCTTTCTTTTTCTCTCCCCTCCCTCCTTCCCTTCCTTCTTCCCTCCTTCTTTCTTTCTCTTTCTCTCCCTCTCCCTCTTTCTTTTCTTTTCTTTCCATCTGACCTACAGGACGATTGTCCATTACACCTTTCACATCGACCCTACTGCCTTTTTTGAGCACTCCCTGCTTTCATACGTTACCATTCAAAAACAAATACATCCTCGTTGGAGCAGACTTACCATCATTGTAATCCTTGCGACTCTGAGAGAGATGATACTGCCTCGGAAAGGTGCCGCCTTTCCCTCGGTCACAAAATGGGACATTGAAATCTGTCCAAGAAAGAGGAACAAGGTAAGAAAGGTGGAAAAGTTTTGGCCTGCTAGACTCCCACCAGCAATGAAATTCAAGATGTCAGGAGCCCCCCCTCCAGATTCTAATCCCAGTTAAAAGTTAACTTAAGATTTAGAGTTGGAAGTAAGAGAAAAATGGGTGATTACTAGAATATATATCTTACATAGACCAAGAATGTACTTTTAGAATAATACCGGTAGGTTTATTTGTATGAAAACTACTATGTAATGGAATGAAGAAAATCTTTTAGATCTGGATTGATTCAATAATTAATTGAACATGTTAAATTAGTAAGATGATGTTTTTGTGTGATAATATGGGTGTTTTTAGGCATGATAATTACTTGGATAAAATTTGAATTTTGCCTAACAGCCTGAAATGATTTAAGGTTTGATATTACTTTGCTAGGTTAAAGAGATTGATTGATTGATGGATTATATATGTATAGGGTAGACTAATATTTTATTTTAATCAGGATACATAGTGTGTAATGGAAGAAGAAATAAACAAGATTTGTGATAAAATTAAGGATTTAAGAGATCAGAACTAGAATATATCTGGAAAGGATACCTGAAGTGATAATGTGTTTATTTAAGGTTAAATTTGACTATGCTAACTGTAAATTTATAAAGCTTAAAAACAGGTTTAGAATTTATAGAAATTTAATTTAGAAATGGATTATTTTAAATATATTATGCTATTTGAGGGAAATAGAGAGGGAATATTTAATGCATTGATTTGAGTTATTTATATATGGCTTTATTGTTGGATGTTTGATTGCCCCAGCACCACGGTGTGTCTCGAGTACTTTGTTCTAAGAAATAAAAAACCAATAAAATTTGTTTAAAAAAAAAGTTAACAGAGAAAAAATTAAATAACAGGTGTTCTTTTACAGCAGAGTCCCTCCTATTATTTTTACCTATAAAGAAAAGCATTAAAGGAGTTTTTTTTTAAATTATTCCAGCATACTCATTTCATCCCTGCAGCCTAGGTTTATTTGAAATGTATACATTACATACAGAATTTGTGTCTGTAATGTATAGAGATAGTATACATGACAGCCCAAAATATCCGTTGCTTAGCTAGGAAGTGGTTAAGTGAGTTTTGCCCAGTTTACGCCCTTTTCGCCGGAGCTGTTAAGCGAATCACTGCAGTTCTTCCGTGAATCAGGCAGTCGTTAAACGAATCTGGCTTCTCCCATTGACTTTGCTTGTCGGAAGCCAGCTGGAAACCACGTGATCCTGGAACGCTGCAACCGTCATAAGTACATGACAGTGGCCAACCACTGCCTCCTTTATGCTGGGTGGAGCTGCTGCTCCGGGTGGCGGCAGCGGCCTAATGGACCTGTGCAAGCTGCTGGCAGCGGCGGTGCACATGCCCACAGAGAGGGGCCTGAGTGCCGCCTCTGGCACGCGTGCCATAGGTTCGCCACCACTGCACTAGATCAAAATGGCTCTTATTTTCCTATTGGCTATATCTGCAAAATGAATCTCTTAGCACAGTGATGGCAAACCTTTTAGAGACCGAGTGCCCAAACTACAACCCAAAACCTACTTATGCATCGTCGGGTGCCGGGTGAGTGTGGCCAATCGGGTGGGTGTGGCCCATTGGGTAGGCGTGGCTGCAGTGATAACGGCAGACTGGGTGGGACTAAAAAGTTCAATCAATCAATTCCAACTTTGCAAGATCTTTTTTTTTCCCCGCGAGAAGTTGAAATTGACTGATTGATTGAACCTTTTTTTTTTTGTACATGGTGGCAGAGGCCTAAAAGCGAAAAGGTTTTATAAAACCCAGCTGAAGGCTAGCACTGGGGCGACAGTGCGCGTGCCCACAGAGAGGGCTCTGAGTGCCGCCTCTGGCACCCGTGCCATAGGTTCGCCACCACTGTTTTAGCATCTTCTCCAAGATAAGACACGTGACTAAGAAAACTGAGAAAGCCCTACTTGCTGAATACAATATTTTTACAAAACAAAAAGAAGATAAAGGAATATGTTTCAGAAAGCAAATATTGCAGCCAGAAGAACTATTACAAAAGGCTTAAGTTTCATTTTGTTTTCTTTTGCTGCCTTAGAACAGCCCTGTTTAAGGCCAGTTATTATAAATCCTTCTCCACATCGCTTGATTGTCTTCTCCTAAGACAGGTCAGCTGTTTCTCCTTAATGTGCTGTTCTTGAAGCAGAAGATGTTGACGCAGACCGTAATGAATGCGAAAGGAAACAGGGGCTGTAGAGTGAGCCGGACATTTGGGGCTCAGGCAAATGAAAGCTTAATTAAGAACTTGAACTCTGCACCCTGGAGGCGTATTAAAAATTCCCCAAGCCCCACAACCTAAATCTGAAATCAGCTTCAAACATTTAGTCCAACACAACATCACTTCAAGTCAAACACTTTTTCTTTCTTTCTTTCTTTTTTTCTTTCTTTCTTTCTTTCTTTCTTTCTTTCTTTCTTTCTTTCTTTCTTTCTTTCTTTCTTTCTTTTTTCTCTTTCTTTTTCTTCTCCTTCCTTCACTCTTTTTCTTTTTTCTTTCTTTTTTACTTTCTTTCCTTTCTCTTCCTTCCCTCTCCTTTCTCTATCCCCCTTCCTTCCTTCCTTCCTTCCTTCCTTTTTTCTTCCTTTTTTCTTTTCTCTTTCTTTTTTCTTCTCTTTTTTCTTTTCTCCTTCACTCTTTTTCTTTCTTTCTTTCTTTCTTTTTTTCTTCTCCTTCCTTCACTCTTTTTTCTCTTTTTTTTCTCACTTTCTTTCCTTTCTCTTCCTTCCCTCCCCCTTCCTTCCTTCCTTTTTTCTTTTCTCTTTCTTCTCCTTTCTTCACTCTCTTTCTTTCTTTCTTTCTTTCTTTCTCTCTCTCTCTCTCTTTCTTTCCTTTTTCTTCCTTTTCCTTCCATTATTATTATTATTATTATTATTATTATTATTATTATTATTATTATTATTATTATTATTATTATTATTATTTAAATTTATATACCGCCCTATCTCCCTTACGGGACTCAGGGCGGTGAACAGGCAATAATAAAAATCACAATAAATATTAAATAAAAAGCCTGCTCTAAAATACCCCATATAAAAACCCCTACCAAAACACAATCAAAACTACGCCAGGCCGGCCGCATGGAATAGATACCCCTTCCTTTCCTCCTCCCTTTCTCTATCCCTCCCTTTCTTTCTTTCTCTTTCTTTCTTTTTTCTTTTTCTTCTCCTTCCTTCACTCTTTTTTCTTTCTCTCTGTCTCTTTCTTTCTCACTTTCTCTCCTTTCTCTTCCTTCCCTCCCCCTTCCTTCCTTCCTTCCTTTTTTCTTTTCTTTTTCTTCTCCTTCCTTCACTCTTTTTCTTTCTCTTTCTTTCTTTCTTTCTTTCTTTCTTTCTTTCTTTCTTTCTTTCTTTCTTTCTTTCTTTCTTTCTTCCTTCCTTCCTTCCTTCCTTCCTTTCCTCCCCCCTCTCTCTTTTTCTCTTTCTTTCTTTCTCTTTTTAAAGCATCCTTGGGCCCTTTGCCATGTATTCATTTTTTAATAGGAGAAGTCATGATAACATTAAAGTTGAACAAATGTTCCAGTGATTTCTCCAGCTGGACAAGGACGTTTAAGTCAAGCTGTTTAGCGAGAATCAACTCTGCACGGAAAATGTAAGATAACTGAACCGTTTGGTTCATGGAAGATCCCCGTTTCCGACAGAACCCGTGGGAGGAGGACTGCCATATTTCTCATGCTTTGGCAGGTCATCCTTCTGAAGTTCAGCTATAACTTTTTTTTTTTAACTTTTTTTTTTTTTACATTCTTGCTTTGGGGCAATTTTGACTCTTTCTCAGCCTTCTAAGGTTTTGCTGAGACGTTGGTTACAGGCAATCCTCGACTTACAACCATTCATTTAGTGACTCTTCCAAGTTACTAAGGCACTGAAAAAAGTGACTGACGACCAGTCCTCACACTTACGACACTGTACTTGTCGATTGTTGTCATAAGTCAAGGATTATCTGCATATCAATCTTGGTTGAAGTCAACAACATTGTCTTATGCAATAGGTATTGTGCAGTACTCATTATTTTGTAGTAATGCAATAATATTGTACATCATTGTATTGTATAACAGCAGCAAGATTATTGATTGCTCAAAACTGGAAGAAAGAGGTATTACCGACTATGGATGATTGGAGATTGAAGGTGTCATATTTTGCAGAAATGGCAAAAATTTCCGCATACTTGAAGGATCAATCTCAAGAAAAATTTATTTCGGTGTGGAGAAGATGGATAGATTATATGAAGAGAAAGTATGAAGTGATTAATTATCATATAGCTTTTGAATAAATATCTTTTTTTTCTAATATTTTCTATATATCTAATATAATTTATATATATTTTTTATTTTTAAGTTTATTATTGTATGTTAGAGTTAAAGTATGTTAAATTTTGTTTGTATTATGAATGGATAGCTTACTTTAGACTTGGGATGTTATGTATTTATCCCTGTACTCAGTTCTGGGAAGTCCGGGGGGGGGAGGGGATGAAGGGGTAGAATTATAAAAATTTGGTGTATTTATAAATGAAATGTAAATGTTTGTTTTTAAGAAGAGGAGATGATCGGCTAGTATCCCTAAACTGCATCCGAGGTGGTGGAAAAGAAGGTGATGGGATGTGTAGGATAGTTGGGAAGGTGGAAAGAGGAGAGGTAGTGGTCAAGAGGGGGAGGAAGGAAGAGGGAAGTAGGTAGGAAGGTGGAGGGAGTGTGGATGCAGGGGGGGGGGAAACGCCGATTATTTCGGAATAGGCTTTTTATGTGCTTGTTTTTCTAATGAAATGCACCATATTTGTATTATTTGTTCATATTTTATTTGAAAAAATTAATAAAAATTTTTAATAAAAAAATAATAATAATATTGTACAACATTTACACAATCCAACAACTCGGCATTCTTACCCAGACACTCCAAGCTGCCCTTGGTTTCTCTTTTTCTTCTTGAAGCCGGGGTTTTGCTGAAAGGCGTGCTGCACAAAGATCGAATTAGATTTAGCGAGCTATGCTCAGCCTTCAACAATGCTCATTCTTTATCTGCACACTAGTACCCGCCATTACTCAGGCTAAAAATCTTCGCAATGCATAACACTTTAAATTCCTGCATAAATTTTAAACTGAGCAGTGCCTATCTCTCCATTTAAAAATGTTAGGCATCTTGCATTAATAAACAAATGCATTACGGATGGCTTAAATCCCAAAGGTGCTTTTTCTAAAAGGCTACGGGAATTTCTTGGGTTTTGTTTTCCTTGCAAAATATTTTGCTTCTCATCCAAGAAGCTTCTTTAGTTCTTAGTTGAGAAGTGAAATGTCCTCAAGGAAAAAACCAATAAAGTCCTTTGGGACAACTGTAATCTGGGTGACTGAGAATCTCCATAGGCTGGGGGTAGGCCACCTTGTCCCTTTTATGACTTGTGGACTTCAACTCCCAGAATTCCTGAGCCAGCCATGCTGAGGGGAAAGGGAGAGTTTCCAAGCTGAGCCAGGCTGGCTCAGGAATTCTGGGAGTTGGAAGTCCACAAGTCATGAGGGGATCATAATTCCCCCATGTTGGCTCAGGAATTCTGGGAGCTGAAGTCCCCTCATCTTCCTAGTAACTCAGGGGTAGGCAACCTTGGCTCTTTTATGACTTGTGGACTTCAACTCCCAGAATTCCTGAGCCAACATGGGGGAACTATGGCCCCCTCATGACTGGTGGACTTCAACTCCCAGAATTCCTCAGCCAGTATAGCTCAGCTTGGAAACCTCTCCCTTTCCCCTCAGCATGGCTGGCTCAGGAATTCTGGGAGTTGAAGTCCACAAGTCATAAAAGAGCCAAAGTGGCCTACCCCTGCCATAAGCTGATGACCTACATCCACCCAGAGAGTAAAAAAAGCCCCTTACAAATCAATAGCTCCACATTAATAGAGGTAGTCCTTGACTTACAACAGTTCATTTAGTGACCGTTTGAAGTTCCAATGGCACTGAAAAGAGCGACTTACGACTGCTTGTTACACTTAAACAACCATTACTGCATCCTCATGGTCATGTGACCCAAATCCGGATGCTTGGCAACCGGCTTGTATTTATGACCGTTGCTGTGTCACGTGATCCCCTTTTGCGACCTTCTGACAAGCAAAGTCAATGGGGGAAGCCAGATTCACTTAACAACCGTGTTACTAAGCTAACAACTGCAGTGATTCACTTAACAACCGTGGCAAGAACGGTCGTAGAATGAGGCAGAACTCACTTAACAAACCTAGCAACAGAAATTTGGGGATCAGTTGCGATCGTAAGTCGAGGACTACCTGTAGTTTTTCATTCTTTGTACTTAATAATTATTCATTTAATCAAAAAGCCTTCTTTGAGAAATCAAACAGACAGTAAAGATGTCAGGCGAGTCACTCCAGGGGGGATATTTTAGAAGTCAGGACACCACCCCTGAGAAGGACCCCTCCATCTTTAGTGGCCACCCACGAAAAGTTGTTCTGAAGACGCCCTCAAGGAATAACAAAAAAGATATGGAAACAGTTTAGCTTAGAATAGAAGAATAATAACCTTATTGTCACTTTAAATGTACATTAATCAGCATACATTAAATGAGATTTTTTCTTTCTGGTTCTTACCTGTCTATGGATTGGTCCAGGGACTGACAACTGCTTGAAAGCGAATTGCTTGGGCTGATAAATGGGTCCAACAACTTTGAGAGAAAACAGAAGAAGAGAAATAAGAAAGAGGGTTTCGGAATACGTTTGAAATTGCCCCAAGCACATCCATTTAAGCACGTGTTATGCCAGCCAAGCAAGAATATAACATAAGGGGACTTAGATTAAGGAGATGGCCTGATCCCATATTTTCTTCTGCCAGAGTCAAAGACCTCTGGGATCTGAGTCTCTTTTCTGAGCTTTCCAAGGCAACTTACATTTTGATCCATCATTTCGGGGATAAATTCTCCTTCGCTGTTGATGCTGGTATATGATCCCTGACGGGCGATCTGCTGCTGCTCTATAGGGACGCTCCCGGGAGGCGGAGAACTCCGGCCAGTGTGCAGAGATCCTGCAAAACAGGCAGAGCTCATCATGGGGAGATTGAGATTGTGGGTCCCAACCACAGGGAAGAGAGGGTGGCTTTAAAAGGGAACGAGCCTGGAAACCTAGTCTCTGAGCGAGGGATGTTGGGCACGAAGGAAAGTAAAAGAAATTAGGAGAAAGCAGAACACTGAATACAGAATAACAGAGTTGGAAGGGGCTTTTGGAGATCTTCTAGTCCAACCCCCTGCTCAACCACTTCACACAAATGATTGCCCAGTCTCTTCTTAAAAATCCCCAGTGTTGGAGCACCCACAACTTCTGAAGGAAACTTGTTCCACTGGTTAATTGTCCTCATTGTTAAACCCTGCATAGGCAGCAGGAAGGGCATCTGACTGGTAAATGCTCAATCTCCATTCAAGTCGCCCCAACTCTACCCTGATGCAAGGGATTACAGGGTCTGATTAATTGTCAATAATGATGATGATAAAGTTGGAAGGGACCTCGGTCATCTAGTCCAACCCCCTGCTCAGGCAGGAAACCCTACACCATTTCGGACAAATGGCTGTCCAGTTTCTTCTTAAAAACTTCCAGTGTTGGAGCATTCACTGCTTCTGGAGGCAGGTGGTTCCACTGGTTAATTGTTCTAACTGTCAGGAAGTTTCTCCTTAGTTCCAGGTTGCTTCTCTCCTTGATTAATTTCCACCCTTTGCTTCTTGTCCTGCCTTCAGGCGCTTTGGAGAATAGCTTGACTCCCTCTTCTTTGTGGCAGCCCCTCAGATATTGGAAGACTATCGTGTCACTCCAGTTCTTCTTTGCACCTCAAGTGCAGCAATTTGCATGTGCCATGCCAAACGATGATGTTGGATGGATATAAGAATCTGCCCTCAATGGAAGCAGAGGACTTTGCCCTGCTATGATTGGCTTCAGTTGGTATCCTACAGATGTTCTGGGCGATAACCTCCTGAAGCTTTCATACAGAATGACCAAACCCTGTGGAGGGTACCAGTTTCAGGCAGAAGACCTAGTTTAGAGATATTCCATGCCAAGGAGAACATCTGGAACCTTCAACAAGCATGTAAAACATACTGAGGGATGAGCTCACTACTAATAACAGAACAGAATAACCGAGTTGGAAGGGATCTTGGAGGTCTTCTAGTCCAACCCCTTGCTCAAGTAGAAGACCCTATGCCTTTTCAGACAAACGTTTGTCCAGTCTCTTCTTGAAAGTCTGCAGTGGTGGAGCACCCACAACTTCTGGAGCCAAATCGTTCCACTGATTAATTGCTCTCAATGTCAAGAAATTTCTCCTTAATTTCTAGGTTGCTTCTCTCCTTGATCCATCATCTACTGGAACTGCTAAACAGACACCATGCCCATCCTTCTGGCCCAGAACAAAAGTGACTATCCTGAAGACCCCCAGATATTTTTTGACAGAAACTGAAGTCCAGCATTATATAGAACTTGTCACAGCCCAGAGTCACCTTACAGAGGAGATGGGTGGCATAAAAATGTAATAAATAAAAAAATATCGAAGGCTGGACCCATACTGTGAAAGGTGGGGGCATCTCAACCCTTTCCCTTCAGAAATGCTCTGAGTTTTACACACCCCAGTCTACCTCCTTTCTCTTGGGATAGCTGCTTTGTAGCTCCTTTCAATGCCTTGAGATGTTCTTCTGCTTAGAAATACAGATTCTCACACCCAACACTGATTGTGGCACACAATTATCATTAACATCTGGAATCATCATTAACTAGAATCATCATGAACATCTCCCTCCAGCTTTGGCTTCTACATACAGCCCAAAATACATACTAGATCCAGCATCTGGTGTCCTTTGATGGACAGGTCTTCTGAAGCATTTAACTCCTATCTCCGGATTGTATTTTTTCCCTCCTTTCCACAAATATTACAGGTGGTTCTCGACCTGAAACCACAGCTGGCATCAGAAATTTCATTGCTAAGCAGTGTTAAGCGAGTGGCATCCAATTTTATAACCACAATTGTTAAACAATTCACTGCGATTGTTCAGTAAATCCCACGGCCGTGAAGCAAATCCATTTTCCCAGGGTTGACTTGGCCAGCGAGGAAGGTCACAAAAGGCAGACACACAACCCTACCAGGCTACAACTCTTGTAAACACATGTCAGCTGCCAAGTGCCCAAAATTTTGGTTGTGTGAGCATGAAGATGCTGCAATAGTTGTTAAGCACAAGATCGGCTCGTGAGTCCCTTTTTCACTGCCAACATAGTAAGGGAATCGTTATAAGTCAAGGACAACCTGTATCAGCCTTCAAAATTAGAATAAGCTGAGCACCTATCAACATTCCTCATTTTCCCATTCTGCCTCTAGATCAGGGGTCCCCAACCCCTGGTCTGTGGACTGGTGCCAGTCCGCAGCATGCCAGCAACCGGTCCGCACAAACAAGCAAAGCCCCGTCCGCAAGATGCAGATAGCACAAAAAACCATGCCCCCTCCGGTCCGTGGAAAAACCTCTCTCCACGGTACCGGTTTCTGGTGACCAAAAGGTTGGGGGCCTCTGCTCTGGATTATTTTCCTTCCCCCCAGAAAACGCCCACAAAACTTTGGGACTGTTTCTTCCTCTACAATCCCAAAGATTAAAAACCTGATTTATTGGGATGGATGGTGGGGGGAAGTAAAGTTACCTTTTTCGGCCATTCCAAACCATTGTTGGAACGAAGAGTTGCAATCCTCCATCACTGTAGGGTTTGACACCCTGTTTCCTTTCACATATTCCCCCCCCCCCGTCTGCTTAACGAGGGAGATCTTCTGCCAAGTCCTGCCTCTCTTTCTCCAAAAGAAGACTCTTTTGGGTGTTCTGCCAGCAACCGATATATATTAGATCCAACTGTCGTTGGTCGGCTAATCAGCCTGACCGGCAAACCGAAGGACAGCATCAAAACACACACATGGTGTTCGAGCACACAATGACATCTGCAGAAACTCCACGGAACAACAGACCAGCACATTTTGTTTTTCAGACAGCTTTCTCTAAATACCTCCTAATATCCTGGGCAAAAGTTCAATGGCATCATAAAGGAGGGGGAAAAAAAGTAATTGTTTGAAAAAAATAAAATAAAAAAAATCCATGCTTCAGCCTTCTAGGAATCTCACAGCAAAGGATTAAGGCCGCTGTAGTAACAAGGTCGAGAAATATTCATTTAATTACATTTAAAAATTAATTTAACTTAAATATAGATAGATAGATAGATAGATAGATAGATAGATAGATAGATAGATAGATAGATAGATACACACACATATAGATATAATTAGATATATAGATAGAATATAGATAGATAGATACAGACGGAGAGACAGACAGATAAATATAGATATATAGATATAGATATGTAGATGTATAGATGTATAGATGTATAGATGTATAGATAGATAGATAGATAGATAGATAGATAGATAGATAGATAGATAGATAGATAGATAGATAGATAGATAGATAGGGGTAGATATGTAGATGTACATGTATATATAGATTATACATATATATTAGATAGATAGATAGATAGATAGATAGATAGATAGATAGATAGATAGATAGAGATAGAGATAGAGACAGAGACATAGACATAATGTGAGTTTGTGTGTTCATTTAAATATTTGTTTAACATTCATTTGGCTAGTCTAGTCTAGAGAAAAAAAGTATAGAGGTGACATGATAGCAGTATTCCAATATTTGATATTGGGAAGAGGGGGAGTCAACTTAATTTCCAAAGCCCCTGAAGGCAGGGCAAGAAACAATGGATGGAAACTAATCACGGAGAGAAGCAAACTGGAACTAAAGAGAATTTCCTGACAGTGAGAACAATTGATCAGTCGGAACAACTTGCCTCCAGAAGTTATGGGTGCTCCATCATTGTGGAGGTTTTTAAGAAGGGAATGGACAGCCACTTGTCCGAAAAGATACAGAGGTCTTCTGCTTGAGCGGGGGGTGGTGGGGGGTGGGGGTGGGGGTGGACTAGAAGACCTCCAAGGTCCCTTCCAGCTCAATTCTAATTCTAATTCTAATTCTAATTCTAATTCTAATTCTTTCTAATTCTAATTCTAATTCTAATTCTAATTCTAATTCCAATTCCAATTCCAATTCCTTTCTTAGACCAAACCTGGGCGTTTTATGGATCTTTGGTTGTCCCTATCCAGCCTGCATGGATTGATTTATTTTAATAGAAGGTTTTCCGGTCAGTCATGACCGATTCTAGGGGACAGTGCTCACCTCTGTTTCTTGGCAGAACCAGTGTTCTGGAACCAGTGTTGTCCAAAGACACTTCTGTGATGATGTGGCCAGCAAGGGTACATGCCACAGATGCACTGAAGTGGTACCCATTTATCTACTCGCACTTACATGCTTTCGTGCTGCGAGGTGGACAGGAGCTGGGGCAAATAACGGGAGCTCACCCTGTTATATGGCTCTCAGGCTTTGAACTTGGGCTGTCAGCTTTCCAGCTAAGAAGCTCTGTGTCTTTAACTTCTAAGTCAGTGGTTCTCAACCTTTTTAATGCCGTGACCCCCAACCGGTCGTTAAGTCGAGGACTAAACTGGTCGTAAGTCGAGGACTAAACCGGTCGTAAGTCGAGGACTAAACCGGTCATAAGTCGAGGACTTTCCCTGCCCGGGAGCGCCGCGCATGCGTGGTTCCGCCCCCTGCGCCGGCCGAGGCGTAGCTGGCAAGCGGCAGAGACGGAGCAGGCCGACCACCAGCTGGCCCAGCTCAAGGGAGGTAAGGCACCCGCCGGAAAAGGGGAAAAAAAATGGCAGACAGCCTTGCTTGGCGACCCCCGTGAAATGGTCGATCGACCCCAAATGGGGTCCCGACCCACAGGTTAAGAACCGCTGTTCTAAGTTATTGTGCCTCCTTTCTCTCTTGAAATGACTATTTTTTTCCCCCAATTTAAGTATGGTCTTACATGCATGCCTATGCATCTTAACAGGACTATTGGTTCGGTCCTCCACGACAGTCGCGGTTTCTCATAATTGGGAAAATTAATTGCCTGCCCTTGTTTTAGACAAATCCCCTTGCAGTCTGGCCAGCTACAGAAGATGAGGTTTTTAACTCCTTTCAGTGTCACTAGAACATAGCAAGGAACTGTGGAAGTCGCAAGTATCAGCCATGGATCCACTTGTCTACCCTTGGCTGGGTCTGCCATTCCTGGAAGGCTGAGATCTGCAGTCCCAAAACATGTGGAAAAGACCAGGAGAGGCCATGTTGCCTTAGGGCAGGGCTTTTCAACCTGTTCACCCATTGTACCACTTTTAGGATATGGCAACATCCAAGTACCACCAGTCGCCTAGCAAGGTGTCAAAAACTTGATGACCCCCCCCCCAAAAAATAAGGAAAAAAGTGATAAAGTACAGGTAGTCCTCGACTTACAACAGTTCGCTTAATGACTGTTCGAAGTTACAATGGCACTGAAAAAAGTGCCCCCCAAGCCACAGCCGAGCAAGACACCTGCCTGCCCACCCGGGGGCGCTCTTCCTCCTGTCTGAGGTTTTCATTGTTGTGAGCATTTCTGTTGAGGATTGGCAGCGGGGGTGGGGGGTGTTTGGTTTTTATTCTCCCCGTCTGCTGGGTGGTTGCAGCAGGTTTTGGTCACTTCACATGACCCTGGGACACTGTGACCGTCATAAATATGAATCAGTTGCCAAGCATCTCAATGCAAATCACAAGACCCTGGAGATGCTGCAACATTCCAGCTGATCGGCGCTTCTTCAGGGCTCAGCAGAAGCGCCAGGATCAGTGCTGCTTTCCAGCTGATTGGTGCTTCTTCAGGGCTCAGCAGAAGCACCAGGATCAGTGCTGCTTTCCAGCTGGACCCTGGCGCTGATCCTGGCACTTCCACTGAGCCCTGACAGCCCTGCAGCTCCAGCCGTCTCTCGCTCAGGCTTGTGCGGTGCTGCCACCGGTTCAGCTCATTCCCCTCCCCCGCTACCACTTTTCTAGGATGGTTGTGTACCACCTGCCAGGTGCCAATGTACCACAGGTGGTACCCCTACCACTGGTTGAAAAGCCCTGCCTTAGGGCACAAGTGTGTTATAGTTTGGGACATAGAACATAGAGTAATAAGAGCTGAAAGGGATCTCGGAGGTCTTCTAGTCCAACCCCCTGCTCAAGTAGGAGATCCTATATCATTTTCAGACAAATGGTTGTCCAATCTGTTTTGAAAGCCTTCAGTGATGGAGCACTCAAAACCTCTGAAGGCAAGCTGTTCCATTGGTTGATTGCTCTCACTGTTAGGAAATTTCTTAAGTTCTGGGTTGCTTCTCTCCTTGGTTAGCTTCCAACTATTGTTTCTTGTCTTACCTTCTGATGTTTTGGAAAATAGTTTGACCCCCTTGTCTTTGTGGGAGCCCCTCAAATATTGGAACAGTACTATCATGTCACACCTAGTCCTTCTTTTCATTAGGCTAGACATACCCAGTTCCTGTAACCATTCTTCATATGTTTTAGCCTCCAGTCCCCTAATCACTTTAGGGGTTCAAGGGATTAACTTCGGTATTATTGGTGGAAGCCTTATCTTAGATAAAGTTTCAACTCTAGGTAGCAGGGACTTAGATTTGCTCCACAAGCTTCTGACATGGAATCCTAGACATGGAACAGCCTTGGATATCTACATCATTCTTTGTGGAAGCTAAAAATATTAGACAGGATATTACTGATAGAAGAGAATATTTGTATCTCAGGATTGTAGCATGGATGATAATATCTAGTTCACTAATGAAACGTCTGCAAAAAAAAAAAAAAGCCACCAAGCTCAGAGAGCACCAAGGACCCCACAGTCCTCCTCCTCCTCCTCTTCTTCCTTTTCCTCTTCTTCCTCCTCTCTCTCCCCTTCCTCCACTATCTAATAATAATAATAATAATAATAATAATAATAATAATAATAATAATAATAATAATAATAATAATGATGATGATGATGATGATGATGATGATGATGATGATGATGTTGGAAGGGACCTTAGAGGTCTTCTAGTCCAGCCCCCTGCTTAGGCAGGAAACCCTATGCCATTTCAGACAAATGGCTGTCCAGTCTCTTCTTAAAAGCTTCCAGTGTTGGAGCATTCACTGCTTCTGGAGGCAGGTTGTTCCACTGGTTAATTGCTCTAACTGTCAGGAAGTTTCTCCTTAGTTCTAGGTTGCGTCTCTCTTCTTCCTCCTCCTCCTCCTCCTCCTCCTCCTCCTCCTCCTCCTCTTCTCAGCAAACCCCACTCCCTTCCAGCACTCATGATGCTACCTAGTTGGGTCATGAAATGTCTACAGGAAAGCAATCAAGCTGAGAGAACACCAAGGACCACACAGATAGGGTATTTCCAGGGTTAAAGATCTCCCACTGGTCTGGAGGACGAGCTTATGGTTAGCCAGTAGGCACTTTAGGCCAGTGTTTCTCCACCTCAGAGACTTTAAGATGAGTGGTCTTCAACTCCCAGAATTCTCCATGTTGGTTGGGGAATTCTGGAAGCTGATGTCCACTCAGCTTGAAGCTGCCAAGTCGAGAAACGCTGAAAGTTTAGGCTGAAGAGCACCCTCCATTCAGATACAATAATGGGGTTCCTCAGAAGAACATGGTACACTGCACAACTTCATCACACCCACCTGTTGAATGCTTCCGTGTCCTCTCGGTGTCTTTGCACAGCGATCCCAGTATATCCCCCATTGATTTAGATATCCTCATCTCATGCTGCTTGGTGTTGTTGGGTTGCAGGAGCTACAAACAGAATAAAAGTTGTTGGTAGGTCCCACCGAGCAACTGACAACTCAACTGTCCTGACTGTTGCAAGGAATAGCACTAGCACTAGGAAGAGCACTTAAGACTTATATATCGCTTTACAGTGCTTTACAGCCCTCTCTAAGCTGTTTTACAGAGTCAGCCTGTTGCCCCCCCAAAAAAATCTGGGTCCTCATTTTACCGACCTCGGAAGGATGGAAGGCTAAGTCAACTTTGAACTGGTTAGGGTCGAACTCTTGGCAGTGGGCAGAGTCAGCCTGCAATACCGCATTCTAACCACTGCGCCACCACAGCTTTTTCATGGTACCACCATATCTCAGGAGGCTCCAGTGTTCAGTGAAAGAATCATATAAGTGATCTATTTAAGTTGGCAGTGAGGGAAAAGCTGTGTAACCCCTGTCTCAGGTCCCCTCGACTTACAACAGTTCATTTAGTGACCGTTTAAAGTTACGACGGCACTGAAAAAAAGGGGCCTAGGACCGTTTTTTACCGTTATGTCCTTTGCAGCATCCCCACAGTCAAGTGATCCAAATTTTGACGCTCAGCAACTGGTTCATATTTATGACCGTTGCAGTGTCCCAAGGCCATCTGATCACCTTTCTGAGACCTAGATTCCCTTAATGATTGTGTGAGTCATTGAACAACTGCAGCGATTCACCAAAGAGTCATAAAATCGGGTGTGACTTGCTTAACAACCATCTTGCTTATCAACTAAAATGTCTGATCCCCAATTGTGGTTGTAAGTCAAAGACTTACCTGCATTAAAAGGGTTAGGGTTGATTCTAATCTGCCTGAGCAGGGGGTTGGACTAGATGACTTCCAAGGTCCCTTCCAACTTTATTATTATTATTAATTATTATTATTATTATTATTATTATTATTATTATTATTATTATTATTATTATTATTATTATTATTATTATTATTATTATTATTATTATTATTAAATAATGAGAGCTAGCTGGGATTGACGCACAGTGGTATCCAGATGCTAAAAACACATCCAAGGGATGCTAATAAAGGAATGCTAATTAGCATAAAACATTAATTACTTTTTACTTTATCTCATTTCATCTCACTCTGTTTCCTGTCTAGGCTCAAACTGCTCGGGGATTATGGCAACCTTGAACTCCAAAAAATGTTTCAGGAAGATTACTTTCTTCAGCATAGCCATTCAGAGACTGCTGGTTCAGAGGCAGTCCTCAACTTACAACAGTTCGTTTAATGACCGTTTAAGGTTTCCACAGCCCTGAAAAACGTGACTTACGATCGTTTTTCACAGTTACAACCGTTGCAGCATCCCCATGATCACGTGATTAAAATCCAGTTGCTTGGCAACTGGCTCCTCTTCACGACGGTTGCTGCCTCCCGGAGTCACGTGATCTCCTTTTGCGACCTTCTGACAAGCAGGAAGCCAGATTCACTTTACAACCATGTGACTCACTTAACAACTGCAGGGATTCGCTTTAACAACGGTGGCAAGAAAGGTTGTAAAATGGGGTAAAACTCACTTAAGAAATGTCTTCCTTAGCAACAGAAATTTTGGGCTAAATTTAGATGAGGGGTAGGCCACCTTGGCTCTTTTGTGACTCGTGGACTTCAACTCCCAGAATTCCTGAGCCAGCCATGCTGAGGGGAAAGGGAGAGGTTTCCATGCTGAGCCAGGCTGACTCAGGAATTCTGGGAGTTGAAGTCCACGAGTCATGAAAGAGCCAAGGTTGCCTACTTCTGGCATTCTGGTTTTACTTGATGCATTCCTTCATGAGACAGTTGGGGAAGAAGGCAGCCAATTGCTAACCCGTGCACTCACTGGGTGCCCCTGGAACCGGGCAATCACAGTTCAGAGTTGTAGAAGGGAGAGGAAATGCCGGTGGTCCTCGACTTATGACCTCGACGGAGCCCAAAATTTCTGTTCCTAAGCAAGACAATTCTTAAGTGAGTTTTGCCCCATTTTACGACCCTTTTTTGCCACAGCGATTAATCACTGCAGCTGTTAAGTTACCGGCAGTAACATATTGATTAAGTGAATCTAATTAATGCCAGCTCTAGCAGAGATCAAAAACTGAGCTTTCCAACAATGGGAACTAAGACTGAATATTGGGGACAAGAAGGAAGGAAGGAAGGAAGGGAGGGAGGGAGGGGGGGAGGGAGGG